GGAAACAAGGAATTCCAGTAATGTGTCGATCACAACCTCGTTACTTTATTTTCAACCGCTCTAAAAACGCTTGTGACAAACCTGTATTTACCCAAAATTGCGTCAATGACAAAAACGCTCGAAGCAGCCTTTATCTGAAGGCTAATGGCTATGACTATATCCCTATATATCTGAAAGTTGGACAAATCAATAAGAAAACTTATCTGTGACTCTGAGTTTCACGCTTACGCGATCATCAGACAGATTTTAATGAAGATTATACCTCACTTAGTTTAAATATGTACAGTAGTTATTTAATTAGTAAGTCTATAGTAATCTGGTGTCGATGTTCACTAGGGAGTATTTGTTCTCATGGCGGCATTTGGAAATTAATTAAGTTCTATTGTTAAGGTTGCTTGCTTTGTCGGGTTAATAATGTATATATGTATATCTATAAATTTTGTGTGACTGTGAGGAAAAAAAACTCAGAGTCACAGAAAAGTTACGTGTCATTGATTTGTCCAACCTTCAGATATGTATACATATATATATATATATTTGTGTGTGTGTCTATGTATTATAAGAATATCAGCAGTTGACATTCTCTTGATAGATACAAAACCAAGATTTGTAGCATTTGATCTCTTTGTTTTTGCAATTTTGTAAGTCAAATTTTGTCGAGTTTTATGTCTTACAGAAATAACCCTGAGACCACACGTCACTTCACCTACACTATCTCCATGTTTTACTGATTATGTATCCCTAACTTCAATTTTCTGTCCCGTTAATTTCAACGATAAAGCATCACATTAATTTCAAACAAAATCTTAGTAAGCTCAGAAAATTTACATAAAATATGTTCTCACTAATAGAACATTTTTACCATCAAATCTCTGAGAGTTACATATTAGGTGATTCTTACCCCAAACATAATGATTACCGCTACTGCTCAAGCGGGTACATTGCGATGTGATTATTTACAAAATGCATATGTTGTTATTACCTGACAGATCTATATAAGTGCTTGGGAAAAATTCTTATTTGTAATGTAATTGCTTTACAATATTCAAATTAAGAGCCTCGGAGTAATGCAACAATATAATGTTTGTTGGTAAATCACATACAAATAACCCAGCTCTTTTAACCAAAGTTTCTAGATCTTAAATTACCTCCTTGAGTTCTCACTACAGCTACTTCTCTGCCGCAGGCATTGATTCAAAAACTGAATCTTCATAATGGGATATGGATCGGAGACGGACACCGCTTCCCAGCTCCGGAATCTCGGAGGTGACAGTGCTTTGTGAAAACGTTGAGAGCCGACGTAGTGATATGCTGGATTCAGCCCGTTTTACAGCTTGTTTACGCGATGTAAAAAGCTTTTTATAAACAGCCTTAAAACTTTTGTTGGAAAAGGCAAAAAGAAACGGATTAAGTGCCGAGTTAAGGTAACCGAACATTAATAACACTAGGTAAACCTCGTGAGGAAACGATTCCCAGTTTTCGCTGTCAATAGCACTAGCAACGACAAAATAAAAGTAAGGTTGCCAGCAGAAGAACAGCGCCAAAACGAACTTTGAAGTCGTCTTAGCCGCTTTGACATTTCTCAAATACACCTTTTTTTCATCCTTGGAGGGCTTTCGGGTCGAAGGAAAGGTGCCTCTTTTGGTGGATCGATTGTTCTTGACAGCAATGCGATATATGAGGACGTAAAAAAAGCATGTGATCATCAGCGGAAGAATAACATTAAGGAAGGACGAAACAAGGATAAAGTTCTTTGTGTAATTTAGTATGCAGATGCCATCATCATCTGCTTCTCCTT